TTTTAAATAAGTGAATTTCTCCACGAAGCCTGTTTTTTAACCTTTCAGGATAAAAGCTAAAGTACTCCCCTCAGGGCCAAATTGCTCTACTATTAAGGGTGGACTAGAACTTGAATTACTGATTCTATCAGTACTCCCTCCAACCCAAAAGCTATTCTTCCTACCAAACACTCTAATGCTATGACTTAACAGCACTCTAGGTCCTAAATGCTGAGTCTTGCTTCACCAAATAAAGCTGAGATGTCTGGCATAAATAAATTGAATGGATGAATGTCAGTGTTCTTTCTAAGTTAGTTGGGGGAATGTTCTAACATATTAGGACTATAAGACTGACAAGCATGGCCACAGGGGACTTTTTAAAAGTAGAGGTTAGGGGCTAAGAATCCAGCATCATAAAGACTTGGATTTATTTAAAAAAAATTTTTTTCAATGTTTATTTATTTTTGGGACAGAGAGAGAGAGAGCATGAACGGGGGAGGGGCAGAGAGAGAGGGAGACACAGAATCAGAAACAGGCTCCAGGCTCTGAGCCATCAGCCCAGACTCTGACGCGGGGCTCGAACTCACGGACCGCGAGATCGTGATCTGGCTGAAGTCGGACGCTTAACCGACTGCGCCACCCAGGCGCCCCAAAGACTTGGATTTAAAACTTGGCTCCCCTCCTTTCAGACTCTCTGAGCAAATTGCTCAATCTCTTAAATACATTATCTTATCTGGTCCTTATATCAGGTATTGGTAGTCCCATTTTTTACAAATGAGGAAATTAAAGCTTAGCAAATTTATGTAACTAGTCAAGTTCAATTTCTGTACGTGGCAAAATGTTCATACTTTTGTCTGCCCACCTCCAAAGCTATGCCTCCTAATCACTTACAAACCACAATGGCAGCTTATTAATTTATGATGGGAGACGTATCTATTGACCAAGAGGTTTGAATCATCTCTTCAAGGTTAATTTTCCAGTTTCAAACACTTAGGAAATTTAATTAGTAACCAGAATTTTGATAGGTAAGTGTGGACTCTGAACAGAAATAATTGAGGAACTATTCTATGCAGGGAAAGTCTAGACACTTCCATCTGCTTTCCTAAAACCAGTAGGGCTCTGACTTAACCAGGTGTCGTTATTCACTCAACAGCTATGTTTAGAAGATGTACCATAAGCCAGGTCCCATTCTAGGACCTGGGCATAGTCTTGGCCTTCATGAAGCTTACATTTAGTTGGGAGAGACACACCATTAAAGAAATGAACTTAAAAACATGATGAATTCAGATAACCAAAGGGCTATAAGGAAAATAATAGAGAGTGACTTGGGATGGGGGACCCCACTCTGAGAAGATAGCACATAACCTGAGCCTTTGTATCCGTTAGGATTAGATTCAGCAGTAAGTGACAGAAAACATAGAATAAAAGTGACCTTTGGGGTGGCTGGGTAGTTTGGTCAGTTGAGCATTTGACTCTTGATTTTGGCTCAGGTCATAATCTCATGGTTCATGGATTCTAACTCCTTGTCAGGCTCTGTGCTGACAATGCAGAGCCTGCTTGGGGATTCTCTCTCTTCCTCTCTCTCTGCCCCTACTCCACTTGTGCACACGCAAAAGTGACTTTAAAAAAACCCTGATGTTTATTTCACTGCTATGTAAATGAAGTCTGTAGGTGAGAATTCTAGGGTTGAATGACATTTTTTTTTAAATTTTTTTTTCAACGTTTATTTATTTTTGGGACAGAGAGAGACAGAGCATGAACGGGGGAGGGGCAGAGAGAGAGGGACACACAGAATCGGAAACAGGCTCCAGGCTCTGAGCCATCAGCCCAGAGCCTGACGCGGGGCTCGAACTCACGGACCGCGAGATCGTGACCTGGCTGAAGTCGGACGCTTAACCAACTGCGCCACCCAGGCGCCCCGAATGACATTTTTTTTTAATGTTTATTTATTTTTGAGACAGAGCATGAGCAGGGGAGGGGCAGAGAGAGAGGGAGACACAGAATGGGAAGCAGGCTCCAGGCTCTGAGCTGTCAGCACAGAGCCTGACGCGGGGCTCGAACTCACAGACTGTGAGATGGTGACCTGAGCTGAAGTCGGACGCTTAACCGACTGAGCCACCCAGGCGCCCCAGGGTTCAATGACATTTTACAGCAACAAGGATCTAGTCTCCTATGTCTTGTTGCACCCCTTCCCCCATCCTCAGTCATGGTATCTGATGGTTGGTTGTGCTCTAGCTATCATTTCCACATGCCAGCCAGCAGAAAAGAGGAAGGGCGGGGAGGGGTATGGAAATGGTGAAGAAGGGCAAGCATCTTCCTTTTAAGAACCCTCCCTGAAAGTTGCATATGCTATTTCCAGTTCCATCTCACTGGCTAGACTTGGCTAGCCACATCTAGCTGTTAGAGAGGCTGGAAAATGGAGTCTTTGTTCTAGACAGCCATGTGCCAAGCTAAAAATTAGAGGTTCTCTTTCCAAGGAAGAGATGTTGGGGAATGAAGAGTGATCTTTGCCTTAAATGATGAGAAGGACCAGTTATGTAAATATCTGGGGGAAAGATCTTTACAGGTGAAGGAAACTGCATGTACAAAGACCCAGAGGCCAAAAAAAGAATGAGTAAATGAACGAAAGAAAGAGAGAAAGAAATGAGGTTGGTAGGTTGATTTCAAGAAACAGAAGTCTATATATCACAGTGAAGAGATTCGATTTTATTTCAGTCACAGTGGCACACTTTTGGAAGGTGTTGAGTACTGGCAGGTTTTGTTTTAAAACTGAATTTGGAGAAATGGTGAGGATATCAGTTAAGCATAAGACATTTTCTCCACTCTCTCACTAATTTCACCAAAATGAGATAAAATTTTTGTTTGCTTGTTTGTTTGTTTTTTAGGAATAAAGCCTACAGGGCAAGAAATGTGGAAAAGAGATAAAAGAAGGATGTCAGCAAATATTTGTAAGCTGGAGAGCAGAAGGAGGAATGACAGTTATAAACAAACCTCAGGAAGCTTAAAATTTAATGCCTGAGGTTGGGATGCAGGGAAAAGCAAGCTTCTTCTTTTATTTTAAATTTTTTTTTTAACGTTTATTATTTTTGGGACAGAGAGAGACAGAGCATGAACGGGGGAGGGGCAGAGAGAGAGGGAGACACAGAATCGGAAACAGGCTCCAGGCTCCGAGCCATCAGCCCAGAGCCTGACGCGGGGCTCGAACTCAGGAGCGCGAGATCGTGACCTGGCTGAAGTCGGACGCTTAACTGACTGCGCCACCCAGGCGCCCCAAAGCAAGCTTCTTCTTGAAGCAGAAACCTGAAAAGGAATTGATTAAACGTCGGTTAAAAATTAGTTGGACTCCTAAATATCCCCCTTTAGCCCTTTCAGCCAGATGACACCCTGCCCTGCCCCCCCACACCACCCCTTCTGTCATGGAATGGATTGGATGTTCTCTAGAGTGAGTTAAAGCCAAAGGGACTCTGGACTCAGGGACACACACAGCTGGGAACTACAGGGAAATTAATGGGAAATCTATATCCAAAACAGCAAGACACACAGCCTCCTTCCTACTGAACTGCTAACAAACTAGTAATCAGTTTTCATATAGATGCGGACAGCTGGGGATCGTCTAACAAAAATAGTCAAACCTCTACTAGATCACACTACAGTAATACCCACTGGTCAGCAAGCCTCAGTACCCAACACACAGCAGCCGGTCAGTTTTTCAGTGTTCCTATTTTAAATATCATTGGACAGCCTAAGATGTCAAACACTTGAGGAAAATCTCTGATACCTAAGACAAAAACCAAAACATGACAATGTAGGTAGAAGAGAACTTCTAAAAATCAATATCATTAATGTCTTTGCATCCTGAGAGGGATTAGAAAATTTTAAACAGGATAGGAGAAAAATTCAAAAGAAAGGTTGGAACATAAAGGTCAAGAAACTTTCCAGAAAGTTGAGTGAAAAGGCAGTAAAACAGAAAAATTAAATTGGAGGCTCAGGCTAGAACGTTTACTATCAGAATAATGGAATTTACAGAAAGAAAGAACAGAAAACAGAAGGAAAGAAAGAATTTGAGAAATAAGACAAGATTAATTCTAAGAACTGAGAAACAATTTTCTAGACAACATCCCATTTCTCAGAAAGTTACTAAAGGATGTACTCCTGGAAAATGGGGGCAGTTATTCAAGAAATATGAAATCAGGAGAATTAGGAGACCAGGGATTCAAAACAGAAGAAATATAAGAATTCCATGATTGGTGGTAGAACATAAATCCCAAGGAATCTGTTGTGCATCACTCTAGAGTCTGAATCAGGACAGGGTATTTCAGGAGGGAAATCTCTCTCTCCATCTCTCTGTCTCTCTCTCTCTCTCTCTCTCTCTCACACACACACACACACACACACACACACACACACACTAGATCATCTGATATATTTTAAGACTTTGGGAGCTATAAATATGTACTTTTAGTGGAGAGTTTGGTGATAAACTAGTGATTATTTCTTAAACAGAGGGAAAACCAGACAATGATTAAATCCAGGGGAAAAAAATCTAAATTGTAATACAAAAGGAATGTCATTATGTATTCTACATGGCTCAGTATGGGTGTAACTCCCAAATAATGATCTAATCAAATATTATGATGTGTTGCTGCTAGGAGGATGGGGGAGCGTGTGTATGTTGGGAAGGAATTGTAATGGAGTTAAATGATCGTTAATAGTAGATGGTTAAGGGGTGATGTTTAAACTGGAAAAGATCAAGAAATAGCTGAAGAAGCATGCTCAGAAATAAGGAGTTAAGTATCCAAAGAAACAACTAAAAGAGTTAAAAGTAGTTGCTTTGGGGAAGCAGAAACTGAGAGTTGAGAGGGTAGGGCTGGGACCAGATGTTCATTATTATAAGCTTTGTAAAACTGACTTTTTTTTCCCCTAAAACTTTCCCAGACTATTTAATCAGGTTACTTACAATGTCCACATTCCTGAGAATACCCCATTGTAGTGACATTGTTTATTTCCAAATTTTTCTGCATTCAACTTAAAAGGTGTTTCTTCCCAAGAAACTGAACTTTTCTGTCAAGTGCGTTTGATGGAATAGGAGAAATGGCTTCATAAAATGGATTCATTGCAAACTTTCTGTATAAATCATAAAAACTAGTAAAGAAGTTCTTTTTTTTCTTAATGTTTATTTTAGTTGAGAGAGAGAGAGAGAGAGAGAGAGAGAGAGAGAGAACAGGGGAGGGGCAGAGAAAGAGAGAGACAGAATCCAAAGCAGGCTCCAGGCTCTGAGCTGTCAGCATGGAGCCTGACGCGGGGCTCGAACTCACGAACTGTGAGATCATGACCTGAGCCGAAGTTGGACACTCAACCAACCTGAGCCACCCAGGTGCCCCAGTAAAGAAGTTCTTTATTCCATCGTCACACCTTGTTTCATGAAGCATAATACATCTCATATGCTGCAGTAACAAATGCTGAAACAAGCCACTCATTGAACTTGTCCACGGTTTTCAAGTACATGTTGTCTGACAGCCACATATTCTCATCTATGTGGTTGAGAGCAGTATGAGCTAGAAACTGGTTCAGATGATGATGATGATCTTTGGATTCTGCTTTCCCAGCTGGCAAAAATTCCATCTCAAACACTGGATGATCATGGTGGCCAACAGTTACAAAGTAGAAGCTTCCAGACATTGTCTTCAATATATAGCTCCTGCAGAGAGACACCGACAATGGAGACAGCCAGTCAGTTACCCCTGCAGACCCTCACTCAGCAGCTGCTGTCAGAACTCCCTGAAAAGCATTTGACTTTTTAACCTGTGTGTGTGTGTGTGTGTGTGTGTGTGTGTGTGTAGATGTAGGTGGAATACACAGTACTAAATAATGGCTGATTTTTATTTTTATTTTTTTGCTTTTTGGCTTTATTTTTATCAAAGCTTCTTTACCCTCTGCAACATAAATTGCAATATCATAGTGGAGATACTGTATTTTGCTTAAATTAAATTTTAACCCTGGATTTGAGAGCTTTCTTAGACTTCTACGTACAATATGGAAGACACCCTAGCATAATCTCATCAGCACCACTTTACAAACTTTTGCAACTTGATTATATACGTTGTTACCTCAACTTAGCTACTTAGTGTTGATTCTTACAGGTTTCTATTTCCAAGTATAATTTTTTTTGTCCTTGAGGTTTGCTGACCTACAGGTACACAAGGACTCTTTTATTGCATAAATTTTGTTACAAGTTGTATTTAAGATCCATACTGTATGGGGCACCTGGGCGGCTCAGTTGATTGAGCAGCCAACTCCTGGTTTTGGCTCGGGTCATGGTCTTCTGGTTCACAAGACTGAGCCCTGTGTCAGGCTCTGTACTGACAGTGTGGAGCCTGCTTGGGGTTCTCTCTCTCTCCTCTCTCTCTGCCCCTCCCCCGCCTGGATGTGCCCTCTCTTTCTCAAAATAAATAAGTAAACTTACAAAAAGATCTATACTATAAGAAAATGTATAACATTTGTTATAACATTATATAACATTTTATAACATATTATAACATGTATATAAAACTAAATGCACATCCAATATAACATATATAATACAACTTGTGTCTCTAGGGTGTGTTACAAAATGACAAATAATTTTAGTGAAGATTATTAGAGGTTTTAGACAAAAGTTTTAATTTAAGAATCATTTGAATTATCTAGATAAAATGCATACAATTTGATTGAATTCAGAATTTATATACGTTTAACCTATGTAAGATACTCAACTACTTCGACACTGTGATTAAAATCTGATGGAATAGCTTGCTATGGAAAAGAAACACGAAGCTTGCAGGGGCAGTGATAAATTTAAATCTCTAATGAAAGATTAAAAAGGGATCTGTTGAATGCCCAAATCTCCCAACAGCAGCATGAGGAACAGCTTTTGTCACAAGCTGTTCCAGGCCTTGAAGCTTAACAAGCAAGTCTCAAATAAAAATATGTGAGTTTATAGAAACGAAATGGAACCTAATAAGACTAAGCACAGGCCCTGCCTCTTCCATTGGCCTGGAGGCTTATGATCTGTTTCTTCTACTTCTTGAGATTACTTATCTGTGTTATGGTCTTTGTGAGTCTAGCTGAGATCTTCACCCACATCTCCCTGGTGAAGCTGTAAGCTCTCTTCCACGATGACTCACCTCCAGACCTGGCTTTCAGATAAGGTGTAGACAGCAGGAGGACAGAGCAGGGACTTAACTCTCTGATGCCACTGTGAAAGCAACATAACAATCCTAGCAATCTAGTCTAGTGGTTTCCAACTTTTTCAGCAGGAAGATCCCTTTGAATACACTTTGCTGCTTAATTTTGGCTCTTGCTCTAAAGTGTTGCCGGGCAGAGCACACACTCTCTCTGCTCAGTTTAAGCAGGTGACTATTTGACATGTGCCCCAATAACTGTTGTGGCACACCCTGAAACAATCAGTATCACTATTATGAAATAACAGTATCACTGTTCTTTTGCAGAATATTGAAAATAGCCCTCAGCTACCTGTGACTACCTTCAGATTTGTTACAACCCCATTATTATTATTTTTTTAATTTAAAAAAATTTTTTTACATTTATTCATTTTTAGAGCAGAGAGAGACAGAGCACGAACTGGGGAGGAGGAGAGAGAGACACACAGAATCTGAAGCAGGCTTGAGTCTCTGAGCTGTCAGCATAGAGTCCGACACGGGCTGAAACCCACAAACCGTGAGATCAAGACCTGTGCTGAAGTTTGATGCTTAACTGACTGAGCCATCCAGGTGCCCCACAACCCCCTTATTTTAAAGATGAGTAAGCTGAGGCACACAGAGTTAAATGACGGAATAATGAATATAGTTATATCATGGAATATAGAATCGAGCGGGAAGCATTCTGAACCATGAATTAGAAGGCCTGACTTCTAGTCTTCTTTAGGAAGACTTAGCTTTATGACCCGGGTCAGACTTTTTATGTTTTTAGGTTTATTTATTTTGAGACAGAGAGAAAGAAAGAGGAGCAGAGAGAGAGGGAGAGAGAGAATCTCAAATAGGATCCACACTGCCAGCGCAGAGCCTGACGTGGGGCTTGAACTCACAAACTGTGAGATCGTGACCTGAGCCGAAATCAAGGGTCGGACGCTCAACTGACTGAGCCACCCTAGGTGCCCCCACTCTGATTTTTGCATTGGCGATGTTCTAAGTAGGATGAGCATTACTTGCTCCTCATATACCTGTTCCTTCCTCAGTCTCCTTCCCTTGTTTTCCTTTTCCCCTTGATTAGCAGAATAAGATTCTCCCTGTTTACCCCATGACCTGTATTAACATTTCTAGAAATGTGATCACTTCTTCATATTTGTTCAGGTAAATGTAGACATCGACACATTACACTTGAATGGAGCTCCCTATAGATTATAAATGTAATACACCGGTGCCTGAGAAAAGGTTGTCTTCGGTGCCATCATCTCTGGTGGCACAGAAACCTAAGTAGGCTCAAGTAGACTAACTCATACTGGAGACCTGTCCCATAATTTTGGGAACATGGCACTCTCGCGTAACACCTAGTGCAGAGAACTCGAACTTCCTTTTGAATATCTGCATGGTTTAATCTTGGAACGTGAAGTTGCCACAGAAACAGACCTGCTCGAACCTGTTTGGGCGTTCTTAAGGATGAATGATTGCTCTTTACTCTGGTTAAGAGGAAAGACTTTCCATTGTCGATTTGGTCTGACAATCACATTAATGTAGAAAAAGGCTTTGTGAAGCATCATAGACAGTTTTGTAAATTTTGAAGACCTCAAGGAGAAGAGTTTACTAGGGATTTGCTGCTATCAACTTTGTACAACGGAAAGGTACAATCTATTACTCATTCAGGAAGAATGGAATGAGATCACTCAGCATGTGATAGCATAACATTACTCCTGAAAATGAACACTAGTCCACTTATTGGAAGTGAAGAGGAGTCGAAGGTCTAAATAAAGCTCTAAAGAAAATCATAAAGTCTCATTCTTAGTAGGAACAGTAGCTTACTGTTTACTGAGCAACTTGTTTCTGCCACACACTATATAATAGGCCTTTTATAATTTTATTTTTTTTAAGTGTATTTATTTATTTTTGAGAGAGAGATTGGCAGAGAGAGGGAGACAGAGAATCCCAAGGGGGCTCTGCACTGTCGGTGCAGAGCCTGACACGGACTTGAAGCCATCAACTGTGAGATCATGACCCAAGCTGTTATCAAAACTTGGATGCTCAACTGATGGAGCCACCCAGGCACCTCATACACCAAGCCCTTTTTTTTTTAATTAAAAAAAATTTTTTTTCAACGTTTTTTATTTATTTTTGGGACAGAGAGAGACAGAGCATGAACGGGGGAGGGGCAGAGAGAGAGGGAGACACAGAATCGGAAACAGGCTCCAGGCTCCGAGCCATCAGCCCAGAGCCCGACGCGGGGCTCGAACTCACGGACCACGAGATCATGACCTGAGCCGAAGTCGGCCGCCCAACCGACTGAGCCACCCAGGTGCCCCAAATTAAAAATTTTTAAAGATCTTAAAAGTAGTGATATCTGAATAAAGTTGTGGATTATATCAATGTCACTTTCCTGTTTTTAATATTGAACTACATTTATGCAATGTATTATCATTGGCAAAAAAATGGATCATGGGTACATGAGCCCTTTCTATATCATTTTTTACAACTTCTTGTTAATCTATGATTATTTAAAATTTAAAAAGTTCAAAACATATCCATTGCATACACTTACGTTCCTGTATAAAATATCTAGTATTGACTTTTGTGTGGGTTTTTTTTTCATAAATACTATCATCGTGAAGTATCCTTCTGCAAACATGATTTCTCACTCAACATTCTGTTTTGAGATCCATTCAAAATTTGTATATAGACACCTAGGTGTTGTAACTACCGCATAGGATTATAATATATTAATATGTCACATTTTCTTCATCCCTCCCCAATTTATGAACATTTAGATTTTTTCAATGTTTTCTTATTACAAAGCCTGCCGTGATGAATATTCTTGTATGTGACCTGTTGTACACATGGGTAAGTTTTTCTACTGTTGTATTTCCTGTTCTTAGAGGCAATAAGGATACTAGCTATCAATGTTTATTGAGCACTGGCTATCATATTGTTATGATTGGTGAGGGACTGGGGAAGTTAACTAACTTACCAAAAGTCACACAGCCAGTAAGTGGCAGAGTCAGAATTCAAACCCATCCTGTCCAATTCTGAACCATCGTCTTTTGTTTTGTTTTGTTTGTTTGTTTGTTTGTTTTGAGAGAGATAGAGAGTACACACACAGGTGAGCAGAGGAGGGGCAGAGAGAGGAGACAGAAAATCCCAAGCAGGCTTCACGCTGTCAGCGCAGAGCCTGACATGGGGCTCAGTGCCACCAACCGTGGGATCATGACCTGAGCCGAAATCAAGAGTCTGAGGCTCAACCAACTGAGCCACCCAAGCGCCCCTGAAACCCATGTTCTCAACCACTGTGATGTGCTGCTGCCTGCATTAGTGTTCAGTGTTCAGAATTTTCTGGATATCTTCCCTGACTGTTACTGTTAATCAAGGTGTCCTCAATCTGTACTTTGCAGTTTGATCTTTCAACCTAAAATGGTGTCTTTTTATTTATTCTGGTTAATTAAATCATCTTGACTTGAGGCCATAATTTCAGCATGTTGAGATAGATACTTATTTC